TGAGTTTGGACCATGGCTCCAAGAGACTTTTTTGTAGGTCCTGACAAGATACACTTGTGTGCCAAGTTTCATAACTGGGTTAAAGCATGGCTTGGGACTGATTTAAAAAAAAAAAAAAAACTCTAGGGGGCACTGTGGAGTAATTAGGCCACACCAACAAATATTGGACCGCATTCCTGTCGGGCTTGGACAAGGGTCAACAAGGGAGACAAGGGAGAGTATTTTGAAAGTTGCTAGGTGGCGCTGTTGAGCCGTTTCTTTTGCGATTTTTGCAACAACTTTAAAATACGGAATTTTCACACAGACTTGATGTGTTTGCCAACTTTGGTGAGTTTTTTAATATAATAAAGCCTCCAAAAAGCCAATTCATTTGGTGGAAACATAAGAATCAGAAGATAAAAGCCACAAGCGGCATCGGAGGCCCTCACAGCTAGGCCTGTCACGATAACAAATTTTGCTAATTGTCCAAAAAATTATTGCAATAAACTATAATATTGTTTCAAGACCTTTTGACACTGATTAATGGAAATGACTAATAATGCATGCGATTTCCTGCCATAGATAGATGTACTTTGTTTTCAATAGAACACATAACACTGGAACTGATTAACTAAATAAACTAAACAACCAAAAACAAAAATAAAATGAATTCTCAGTCCCCATTAACAAAAAACCTACTTGAATAAAAACTAAACAACATAAAGCCAAAGTGGAAATAAATACTGCATTCAACCAAATAAGTGCAGATTATGAAGTCTGTATACTATATTGCCCTTCAGTAATCACTAGATTTAAATAAAGAAGATGGGCACATCCGACTACCTAATGCAGGGGTGTCCAAACTTTTTTTAGTGAGGGCCAAATACAGAAAAATAAACAAAGGGCCGGGCCACACACTGGAGGTCACATATTTACACATCAATACGCTTTGTATTTTTAACTTATCTATAATGTGAAGAACATTGCATTCAGTGGGAGCAGTGATGCTGCCCTTTGGCTTGAAGGATGGCTGACATGTTAGGAGAAAGTTTAGTGGTTGAGACACGAAGGATTTCACAGAGATGGCTACCCGTCATTCTGGTTCTCAGTCTGCTTTTGTTCTGATTTAGCTGAGAAAATGTTTGTTCACATATGTATGTTGAACCGAACAGGCTCATCATTCTTTTTGCGTGGAGTCTCATCAGAGGAAACTTGGCATTATCCAAACTCTGATAGAATTCAGGGAGGGAGAGAAGCTGATGTTGACTCTTCAGAGAATCATCACATTGCATTTCAATCAGTTCTAATTGCAGACTCTCTTCCACTTCTTCTGCATCCACCAGAAAAGGGGTCGAGAACAGCTTGATTTGTTTTTCAACGCCAGAAAAATCTTGGAAACGCTGGTTGAATTCTGTCACAAGAGATGCAATCACAGACACATCTTTCTCCTTTTTAGCAGAAAGGTCGGTCTTTGGAAAAGCAGACTTGATTTCAGACAGCGCAGGGAAGTGTGCAGGATTAAAGCCTCGTAGTTGTGTCTCAAACAGGCGGAGCTTTACGCAGGAGGCTTTCATGTGCGCATACAGTTGTGGCAGCAGCTGTTCTTTGCCTTGTAGGTTCTTGTTCAGTGTATTCACATGATGGGTAAGATCAACTAAAAATGCCAGGTCTGCCAGCCACAGAGGGTCACTTAGTTCATGAAGAGCTCGATCCTTCTCTTTTAAAAACCGGTCGATTTCTGATCGTAGCGAATAAAACCGCTGCAGCACAGAGCCGTGGCTGAGCCAGCGCACATCAGAGTGGTAGAGTATATCCCCATAATCAGCGTCCACGTCAGATAGGAAAGCCTGAAATTCTCTGTGGTACAGTCCTTTAGCTCGAATTATGTTGACAGTTATAACAGTGTTCATCACATCGCCCAGCTGGACAGTCTTGACACACAGTGCTTCTTAGTGGATTATACAGTGCATCCTAACAGCCTCACCTCCGCTCTCTTTTACCTTGGCGCACACCAACGATGCCATTCCTTTGCGCTCGCCCGTCATGGCTGGAGCTCCATCCGTTGTTACTCCACAGAGCTTGTCCCATTTAAGCCCCATCTTTTCAACTGCCTCTGACACAGCTTCAAAAATATCTTTTCCCGTCGTTGTGCCTTTTAGGCTCATCATATCAAGCAGCTCCTCCGTACAGCAAAAATTATCATCTACTCCCCGCAAAAAAATTAACAGTTGCGCGGTGTCTGTGGCATCTGTGCTCTCATCGCATGCTATTGAGTAAAAATCAAAAGCACAAGCTTTGTCTCTCAGCTGAAGTTTCAAGTTAGCTGACAAGTCCTCGATTCTCCGCACCGCTGTATTTCTGGATAAGCTCACATTGTTGAAATTAGGCACTTTTTCTGGACACATTATTTCTCTTACTTTGATGAGGTACTGCTTTATGAAATCACCGTCTGAAAACAGTTTGCCGTGCTGGGCAATAAGTTTAGCGACTTCATAACTTGCTGTTGTGGCGTTTTCTTGTATTTTGTTAGCACGGGAAAAAAACTGCTGTTGAGCTTGCAGGCTAGCTGCCATTTGCTTGACTTTCTTTCTGTGTACGTTCGACACCAGTGTACGATGTGTAGCTCTGATGTTTGGTCTCATAATGCCGACGGACATTATACTCTTTCATCACAGCAACATCTTCATTGCAAATCAAACAGACACACTTTCCGTTGATTTCTTTGAAAAAATACTCATTTTCCCACCGTGTTTGAAATCTCCTACACTCACTTGCTATTTTGCGTTTCATCGGTGCTGCCATTTCTGGTGACTCATATCACCAGAAATGACATGAGTCATTTCTGGTGACTCATTTCTGTGGCTGGCTCCATCTAGTGTTGAAACTGAGAAGTGCAGCAGAGCTGAACTCAAGCTTCTTGTGCGGGCCATATTCAGTTATATTTTCAGAATTTGCTGCGGGCCAATAAAAACTGGACCGCGGGCCGCAGTTGGCCCACGGGCCGTAGTTTGGACACCCCTGACCTAATGCAATAGTTCACACTACACAATTTTTTGCACCTATTATCCCTTTACAACAATCTTAGAACGTTGGGTGTTCCAAGATTGTCGCTTGCGGTTTTGTAACCGATCATTCTGCAGTGTATGGTGTGTTACCGTAGCTCCGATCTACATCAGGGGTTTTCCCCGACTGGGAGCTTAAAGCTGAATGTGACAGGTAGCCAATCAGAAAGCACGGATTCTCCTCCTGCTTTTTGAGGGGAAATTACGGAGGGGAATCCCAAACAGCTGACACGGGGCAACCCAAAATCCAGCGGACATTGGAGATGATATGTGGAAACAACATTAATATTTATTCAACATTTCGTGCAAAGAATATAGAAATGACAAGGGGAGGAGTTGGAGCCAAATTGCTACCGCAGCTGATAAACCCGGTAAGTTTTCAGCTGTTCTTCGTTAACGTGACATAAATAGGTTATAATGATTTTCATTCAGTCAGGATTTTACACCGACTCTAGCCACATGCATCACAGGTAGATTCTAGTAAAGCATTGATTAATGCCTGGCTTTAAAATTAGTTAACTGGACTTGTAGCCATTATTTTGTGCCCATGTGGCTGGACACCACACGGCACGATCGAATCCGATCGAACCATTATACCTAGGATTTCTGTCGGCTAATGTGTGGTCTCTCAGGTTTTGAAAATGGGCTGACAATCGGCCGACAACTCATGTAGTGTGCGCTGGACATTACACAAAGGAAATGAGGAAGGGAGGGTCAGGGGAGAGCATCGGAGTTGAGCCTTTTTTTTCATTCAGTGCCATCAACAGAAAGAAAAACGGTAAGAGTCGATAACGCCGATAATTAAAATGAGGTTGATGGGTTTAATTTATCGTGCGATTAATTGATTTATTGTTTATCGCGACAGGCCTACTCACAGCTCAGCGCAGCTTTGGCCTCCTGGTGACCGCTGGGGTTCTGGCACCGCCACTATTATTAAGGAAGAGATTCTTAATTAATTTTGGAAAAGTTTGGCTGTCTGTCTTCCTTTATGATCCCGGGTCCTCTCTCGGCGGCCACGTGTAGTCACTCAGAAGAAAACAGCAATGCGTGTTGACATCACAGAATTACAGAGTTTAATCCAATAGAAGACGATGCATAAAATTACAACAGAAACTGCAGAGCAACGGAGACATGCATTCATTTACCTGACAGACTTGGAAAAAGAAGGAAAGAAAGAAAAGCAAAGACGTCTTTGGAGAATTGCAAGAGCAAATCTGATTTGTTACTCTATGTGGATTGTTTTATAGTGAAGGCGTATTCTTATCTTTAATTTATTCAAATAAGGCTTATCTTTGCTCATCCAACCAGGAGCTATCTCTGACCCTTTATCTGAAGCCAGAAACCCCTGACGTATTTACGGCCTTTCACAGATGAGTGTGAAAAGCTAGAAATTCTACTGTATTGTTTTTCCCACACAGACAAAAGGCAGTTCAAACGACCCTAGCAAACCATCTGCTGGAACTACAAGTAACATAAAGGTCAATAGGCCAGAATATATTACTAATTTCAAAACCACAATTAGGGTATTTGAATCAAGACATGTTAAGTTTTAAAACTAGCATATTTTAAATTTATTTTCTCAACACCACCCACTTGCCACTACCGATGCTCTCGCGCAGTTTCTGCACCTGTCTGCCAGGCGATACACATCGATGAGTTCGGCATCGCTCCCTGACGACGCACCCAATCTGGTGCAGATCGGCTGATGTAGTGAGGAAACATAGCTGATGGAATAACCTTGGGGGAGCAGTATAGTCAAATAACAATTCAATACTATTGGGCTCCTTAGAGGTGAACAAAGGTCATGCATATCCAGTTTGGTGCAAATCAGATGATGCATGTGTGATTTAGGGACAACCGTACCTGGATTGGCTGTTAATTTTACGCTTTAGGTATAAATACTACTATGTGATCTGGCAAAATGGAAAAATTATCTGGCAATAAATTCACCTAATTTAGACATAAATTACAAAATATTTGCAGGCACAATACATCAGCTATTCAGTCAAAAGGACAACTGAAAAACCTGCAATCAGTAAAGTATTTAACAGTAGGTCCTCAGTCCCATAAATTTTGCAAAAGTCAAATCGATCGATTTTTTTTTTTTCAGAGATTATCTATCTCATATTATTACATGGTGAAAGTTTTAATACATATGTAAAATCTTTTTTTGTTTGTTTAAGTTGCCTGTTGCAGCTTTAAGCAGACGTTCGGTGTGAGAGTTCACTGCGGGTGTTGTAGAAACGACGCTCCGTCTGTGAAATGTTACTACCAGTAGTGCATAGCAAAACAAGATGCAGGGGTTTGTGATCGGCAACAAGAGACAGTGATCGGCGATCACCAATCATACACCTTTTCACGGAAATCAGCCGATTATGATCGGTGGCCGATTGATTGGCACACTTCTAGATGAAACCCATATGAATCATAGAGTAAAAGTAAGACATCCAGTTGAAAAAAACATGTTACTTCCTGTTGGAAATGGGCGGGGCTAAGGTGATGTCATCAATTGACCATGTAAATGTCAATTCACGTCTCACTGTCTGTCAGATGCGTGACTCCGAGGAGAGCGCGAAAGCTCTTCATCGGGCTGAACTTGCATGATAAGCTTAGCGCTGCTCGTTATCCACAAACGCTCCAGCCAACCGGGACCACAGACACAAACTTTACAGGGAAGACAGACACAGAGCCACACGCTGGGCAGCGTGTTGAGATGTAAACGGCTCATATAATTGTTCGTTCACAAAGATAAATCATTCTCACCGCTCCACAACGCGCACCTCTGAATTCGCTACAAGTTATACCTGCGGTTCACATTGAGCTGCGCAACCAGAGCTAACGTGGCGGGTTTTAAACTCTTACGTAGAGTTCTCCAAAGGATCATAATTCCTCACAGCAAGTTGATGTAAGTATCCATACAGGTCAGCCTGTGTCCAGTTTGAGTGAAAGGAGGCGCGCGTGATCCCGCTGAGGTAAAGCAGCGGCAGCGCGAGGCAAAGCGCAGAGGCGCCAGCTGTGTGATTGGTCCACGCGCCGACGGCTTTAAATGCATAAACTATAAACCTATCTATTATAAACCTACCCTTTAGGAATAAATCTGCTCTGCTAGTGAAATGCTGAGAGCAACAGAGACGCTTGCAGTCCAGCCTTAAAAAAAACAAACAAAAAAAAACAACAATTTTTTTATTATTATTATTATTTTCCCCCTTGGCGGCGGGGCTAGTAAAGCATGGCGGACCGCCAGGCGTATAATACACTGGGGGAAACCCTGGATTAGTCTGCTCTCCTGGCTTTGTAGCCTGTTAAATACGTCAACTATAAACCCATCTTCTTCAGGGCAACAGAGACTTTTGAAATCCGGCTTATTAAAAAAAAAAAAAAAAATCAAGTTTTTTTTTAATTTCTTTTTTTTTAATCTAAAATCAAAAACAAGCAATGCTTAGCCTGGTAGGGGGAGAGCCAAGAAAAACCTGGTGGGAAATAATGATTTCAGTAAGTATAAATAACAAGCAACAATAAATAACAAATAACAATGCACATATGTTCATCTAAAAATAATCTATTATTGAGTGTCGGGAAAATTAGATTGAAGTTGCTTAAACTTGGCTTCTGTTTCGCTCTGTGGTTCACTTTGATAACATGAGTCTCTGGCTGAAGGTGCTAATGTATCCGGCCAGCAGGCCTTGAAGTAGTTGAGACTCATTTTCTAAGATGACAACAGGATCCTTCTCCTTCACCACATTTACCAATATTTACCACATTAATTCTTTATCAAGCCATCTATTTATTTATATTTTTCCAATTTTGGGAGTGTCGGTCTTCCCAAAAGAGTTTTTAAAAACTGGCTAATTTATTGCAGAAACAATTAATCTGGAGAACGAAGAAGCAGAGGCAGATGAGAGAGAAAGAAGAGATGGAAGCAAGAGAGAAGGGGTTCCAATTATTGATGATTATTGATGCAAGCCAAAGAGTTGGAGAAATGAGCAACTAATTACCTCAGTGCAAATAGTCTAGGTTACTTGTGATGCCAGTTCTGCATAGTCAGAGGTCACATCACCAATTTAATTATTTAAGTATTTATTTCAACAGAGTTGTTGCTGCAAAGGGAGATGGAGCTGAGAAGGATGAGAGCAGGAAAAGATTAGATCATGGAACCAAGCCAGAATAGAGAGCTGCAGATGCAGCTCTGCCAACAAAAAGTGAAGGAGACAAAAAGGAACTAAAGTACAAATGTGACAAGATCTGTAGTTCATCTCTCAATTACTGTTACATTTCTTCCTATGTGTTTTTCTTTGCTTACAAGTATGCCATTCATTTAAAGGGGCAGCATTATGTAAAATCAACTTTTTGAGCTTTATATGTTATTTCCTAATCAAAAACATACCTGAAGTACTGTGCCCCCTTACACAGCTCCTTAAGAATAGCAGCAGCACTTCCAAACACTCAGTGGAACTGTCTGTTTAACTCTTCATATGAGCTGCTTCTGTGTCCAGTGCTCCTGAGAACAGTTGTAAACAGTATAATGAGAAGGATTGTTGTGATGAGTGTCAAAGAACAGGAGCTTCTTAAAGAGACATACTCAATTTCAAGATGTCAAATTTCTTTTTAGTTGTTTTTGATATACACTGCATCTTTATAACAACTGAACATAGTTAGCTATTTGTGCTAATACAATGGTACTATGTGCCTGGGAAATACATAATATCCTTTAAGGTCCAAGTTATTGGGTGGAAGAAGTGAAGCAGAGAAAACCAAATGTGTAAGTAGACGAGAGCTGGAGGAAAGAGTCCACAGTTGGGTTCTTAATAGAGGTGCGCCAATCGATCGGCCTCCAATCATAATCGGCCGATTTCTGTTGTTGCCGATCACCAAAACCGATCACATTTATCTCACACGCAGCCTGTGTGCAGCTTATCTCCTCTTTCCTTCACACTGAGCAAACACGCGGCAACAAATCCTGTCGTGTGGAACTATAACACTATGAGAGTGAGTGGGGATGTTTCCATGTTGCAGCGGAAAATTACCTTGTGAGTGAAGCACGTCAAAATGCATCAACACAACAAATCTAATATGGCATTTAAAAAACAAGCACTTGACGGAGTTTGGCTACATTGAGGCTCAATGGAGGACAAAAAGGACATCCGGAGCGGCCAGATACCGAGTAAAGCAGCGCACAACTACCAACCCTCACCCAGATTAGCATCACAGTCAGAAAGCGAAACAAATAACCCGAAAAATATTTCAAGTCTTCAAGCTGGCAGTGTAAGACGCTGGTTCTGCTCTTGCTCTTGGACCGCCGCTTCACGCTACTGTTAGTAATATTTCACAGACGGAGCGCTGCTCAACCTCCACCAGACAGTGAGCTCTCACACCGAACGTCTGCTTAAAGCTGCAGCATGTAACTTTAAAAAAAAAAAAAAGATTTTAGATATGTATTAAAATATGTCTATTTTGTCTAAATTAGGTGAATTTATTACCAGATAATCTTTCCATTTTGCCAGATAACATAGTATCATTTCTACCTAAAGCGAAAAATTAGCAGCCGTTCCAGGCGATGGGCAAAGATAGGTGATCAGCAGAGATCGGCCTCATGAATGATCAGTATTGGAATCAGCAGCAAAAAACCTGATCGGAGCATCCCTAGTTCTTAACAAAATGTTTTGCTAGGAGAGGCTTGTGAATGGTACAGCTATGTATCCACGTCCTGATTGTTACCAAGGAGATGAGTATAAATGATTTGCAGGGCCTTCTTGGTGTTACTGCTATATGCAGTGCAACTGCCTCTCCATCACGCCAAATTTTCCACTGCAGGAGTATCTGCTCCACTTCGCCAGCAGAGCACACTATTTAGAGCACAGATATCAGTGTATCAGAAACGATGAACAAGGGGAACCATGTTCCTGAACAAGGTCATGTTTAACAATTTCTAAAACAACAAATGTGACTTTCTGTGACTATTCCACTGTGTCTTGTATACGTTTTTTCCTCTTCATGACATATTTTTTGACTGTGAGTTGTACACAGGAGCAATTTATAGTCTGAAAAATACAGTAATACACGACCTTGAACCCCCACCTCCTAAAGTGTTTCAAAAAGTGAATTTCAGCCTCTGACTCCTAAAGAAACCACAGTGAAGGACCACTCTCTGCAGTTGATTATTTTAATGTGCACTGAATAGTTTATTTAATGTAAGATAACAGTGTATTGTAAGTTGGTTTAAAGGCTTCTTTGACATTTTAGTTATCTGCACATCCAGTTTTTGTCTTTCTCGTAAAAAAAAAAAATATCTGATGCTTGCACCATTTTTCTTATCATTTTGCTGTAGACATTCCTGATGATTATGTAATTATGGCGCACAGAAAATACACATAGTGGCAGTTTAGTGTTTACAGATAACCTGTCATGAGGCCATCACCTGACGTTTGGTGCTACCTGAGGGCTGAGAACAGCATTTTCTGTAGGACTCTTTTATCAAGAGACAGTGCTGAAAATTGCAAGAAGGAAAAAACATGGTTTAAAAAACATTTGTGTGGTACATTTTTGTAGATTAACAAAAGAATGTATGCTGTGTTTAAAAAAATGCAGATGATGCAGTTTATATGCTCAGTGTATATGTTCATAAAGTTTCTAAATACTCCCTCAGTCTGCTGCAATAATGACCATATTCATATCAATTTAAGGAACTGGATCTGTTCTGTCACTCAAACCATTGAGGTTTGTGAAATTGTTGATATTGTTGGGTGTCACATTTCACAATGAATAGAGTGACCATCTCTATCAATTAACACAAGCTTTGGTAAACGGAGCATGGCATTGGTGTTTTCTACAGCTGGTTCTCAGCTGTGTGCGTTCTGTATCACATTGGTTATAAGCAGGACTCCGTAGAAACTGAGTGCATGAGGAGGTAACTCACTCATTTAATTCAGGTGTGTTGTACTTGTTGGGGAATGGAGTTTGACAATACTGGTCTAATTTAAAATAAAAACAGTCTTTAGTTTTCTCTAAGTTGAGCTTTAATTCCACAAGTTTAAACACATCTTAACAGTTGCTTGTGCAAGTTTCACCTGCCGCCCTGTTCCCAAATTGACTGTTTTTCTGTGCTTTCTTGGAGGGAAAAAATCTGCTGCTTCCACTAAAGTGGATATATCATGCTTTTAAAATGTTTTCCTTTTCATATATAAATCATTAACTTATGGTCTATATGAAGTGGAACAGCAATGCTTTGATCTGAATTACTCATTATTACACAGACTCGTTTACCCTTGATCGAAGACTTGTTTTAGAGCAACTTATTTTGCTGCTGTCTTTTTAAATGTAAGACATTTCACGCCCCATCAGTCTGACCCAAAGTAGGAGAATGAAGATGACGAACCTGCACAAGGGTATAAGGAATCTTGTGGGTAAATAGGCTCTGAACGGAACATTTTG